CTCCCCAAATGACTTATTTGAGTGTTGCGTTATCTTGATACTTGTAATTTAAAATTAAAGTTTTAAAAAAAAAAAAATTCAAAATTCAGTAAAAAAAATGCTTAAACTATTTTATTACATTTACATAAATAAAATAGTTAAGTTTTAGTAATATAAATTATGTATTCTCAAAGAAATAAAACTTATTTCTCGTTGTTTAACATTGTTTATTTTTAGTATACATTTTTTCATTAAAGCATTTAATGAAGTTTTCAAAATTCTAAAAATGTTTGTTGCTATTTAATATGTTTTATTCAATTTAAAAATTATTTTAAAAGCAAAGAAATGTCAGTAGCTATTTGATTTCATCTTATAAAAAATTAATGGATTATTTAAAAAATTTCGAACTTAAAATTTAAGTTTACAAAAATGATTTTAATTGCAAAATTCAGTTAAAAAATTTTAAAACTATTTTATAACCATACTGTTTTAAAGTTGATATTAAAATTTTATAATTAGTTAAAGAATAATCTATATATTTCAATTAAAAAATAACAAAAAGGAAACATCCATTAATTTTTATTAAGAAAGTTATAATTTATAAATGAACTAAGACTTCTTGAATACTTATCAACCTTTTTAGATAAGGAATTGAACTCTGGACCTCTCCGGTAGAAGGTGTACAACTTAATGGTCAGACCACAATTATTAAACTAAACTAAATATTAGCTTAATTTTAAAATATTAAACTAAAAAACACCTTTGAAAACACCTTTATCTTGAAATTGAAATAAAATCAATTATAAGTGATTAAATAAAAATAAAGAAAATTATAGAAATAACTTGTTTTAATGAAAAAATTTCAGCACTTTTTCAAAATCGCATCAGGCAATACATACCATCTCTTTTCTCACAAATTGTGATGTCATTTTCGACCAATAGCGTGTCCCAGCTATTCTGAAATTTAATCGCTTGTTTAATTTGTGCCCCATGCTCTTTAATTTAAGCTTTAACTTTGCTTTGATTGGAGTATAAGCTTAACTTTGTTTTAATTGGAGTTTTCAAGATGTGTTCTACCCTTGTTAGAAACAAACTTTTTGCATGCATTAATTACTGAACAATAGTATTTGGGCATAAGCCTACTCTTTTTGGGTGATACCAAAAATCCCAATCGAAATTGCAAGCAGTCCCTAAAATATTTAACCCTCTTTGAATAGAATTAGATTAATCAGTATTTTATGAATTTATTATGTGTCTAAAAGATTGCTTGCAAACTCAAACTATGATTTTTAGTTTTTCTTAAAAATATATGCTTGAACCATCACGTAGGTTTTTGCAAATTCAAGAACTGTTTTTATTATTAGATGTTATTATTAATATTTTTTGGTCTAATTATTTAAGTATTTTTAGATTTTGGCTGTTTTTGTTTTTAAGTTTTTGTGTGTGTGTGTGTGTGTGTGTGTATTAATACATTGGATTAATAATTCAACGCTGCTGTTTGCATTACTTATTTTTGTTTTCTTTTATTATCAAGAATTTTTTTGAAAAATTTCTTACAGTTTGAGTAGATAAAAGCTTTAAATTTGATTTTGAAAATTAATTTATTCTTTAGATGTTGCTGAAAGTTTTTATTTTATATTGTAGTAAACTTATTTATTTAAATCTTGTTCACTTCCATTATTTTGGCAATAATTTGTTTCTAAAATAATTTAACAAGAGTCAACTTAGAAACTGGAATTGCTGATGTGTGTTTTGAGGAGTTTTATTTATCCTTTAGTTTGGAAACGGTTATAAATTTGATATTTCTTAGTTTGCTATTTCATAATTTAAAAGTTAATATATTCTTCTTAATATAGTTTTTAAAAAATTACATAGTATTTGGATGATTATAGAACCGTAGTTTTGGGTGTAAGTAATTTTTACCAGATTCTTTATATAAGAACTTTACTGGATTGATTTCTAATAATGTTTTAAGATTTGCTATTCATTTTTTTCTTCACTAAGAATGTTCTTTTTTATTGATGACACTCCAATATTTGAAAAAATATATATATTTTTTCTATACAACTTTGAAGTTTCACATTTTTTAAAAGTTTCTCATTTTTTATATTTATAGTTAAATTTTAAATGAACGGTAGATTTTTAGACTCTTATTCAAAGAAATGTAAATCTGTAGACTATTACTCAAAAAAACATTTAAAATTGTTTTTGTTTTTTTTATTTTTCATAATACTTTTAAGAGATGGGTGTGAACACTGCAAACAAAAAACTCAATGGCGTTTTTTAACTGTGTTACATTTGTTTGAATATTTAGTTATTTAATATCATGTTTATTGCCCTGTAAAACTTTTCATTAACCTTGTAAACATGCAGTGAATCAAGCTAATAAATGATATAACTAAGTAAAATACCAAACTTAAAAAACGGAACATAACTTACAATACGGAACATAAAAAAATTCAAAATACATATTACAAATTATATAAGTTTCATTGGGAGTACACAATTGTATACATTTACATTGAAACATCTTTAATGCAGAAAACACTACAAAGAAAACATTATACTTATCAATATTTCTATCATAATATTAATTACTTGTAGGACTCATCTTCACTGTGTTGCTTCTTGCAATAATTCAACTGCTGGAAAACCTTGATCAACTTGAGTAATCATGAAACAACCTGGGAGAGAGTGAAAAATGCTTTGAATACCTCTGCAGTAGGTTCTAAATAGTATGAAATTTGTAAATTTCTGTATCACATATACACTTTAGATGTCAATTGTTCCACAGATAACCTAGGTGATGTGCAGATTGACTTGAGTGACCTTCTTATTAAGTACGATTCAATAATTATTTTTTTTTTAAATTCATTCAATTACTTTTGGAAAATTGTATTTTATCATTTCATGCAAAACTTTATATACTATAGTCCATGTAGTGTGACACTTGTTACCAAACTTTATTCAGCCCAGTATATGCTCCCTTTAATATCATTCACAGGATTCTTTGTAATCTGGTACAAAACAATTTTTACAAATGACTATATAGAACTCTTCATTAAATCACATGCTCACAATTTTGTGCTAATTTACTTCTGCAAATGTTTTCATATTTTGCAATTTAATTTGGGTTCTCTCTTTACGTCTCATTACACCCGTGTACCTTATATGAAAAAGTCATTCTCAGTCAATTAGGAATTCATCTCATAATGAACTTAATGTTGATAATAGATTGAAGTTTGTAAATCAATGACTAGCAATGAAGAAACTTTTAAAACAAAAATTTAGTTACAGTTTTAAATTGCCTTTGCATGAGAAAATGTAATTACTGTTTCCTTACTAAAATGCTGTAAAAACACACAAAGGTCATACATTTTTTCTTATAAATAAATAATTAATTAATTAACATAGAAAATGTTTTAAATGATATTTTATTGAAAAGTTATTTACTACTTTCAGGAAAATAGATAACATGGCAAAGAAAATTTGTAAATGACCCTTAATTTCATTTTCTGAAAATTTTCGTATATTTTGTGCCTACAATCAGTGAACCTTTAAAGATGTTTCATCTATGTTTTTAAAAAATTGATGATGTGTGTTATTTTTAAGTGCTATTTGGATTATGAACAAATTTGCTAATTGGCACTTCGTGGGCTACTTGACTCCACGAATAACCGAGAATTTACTATATAGTTAAAAAATATTGACAAATAACTAAAGCTGAAATTGCTAATTTTTGCATTATATAGAGGCTGTTTTTCTTTTTTTAAAGGAACCAAATATCTTTTTATTATATATAAAAATAAAAAATGTATAACAATAATTTTTTAAAATAAAACTAATTAAAAGATCCTAATTGAAATTACAACATTTAAATCTTAAAGTAGTTAAAATACAAAAGGGAAAACAGAATATATTGATCTAACTTCCAATAAAAATTATTAAAGCAAAAATACATTTAAGTTTTTAGAAAATATAGTTTTTTTTAGCTAATTAGAGTTTTTTTTTTATATAAAGCTCATGTTTTTAAATCAAAATTATCTGTTTGACACAAAACAAAATGTATTCATAATTATCTAAACGTGTTTAAATAAATTATTTTAACTTTTTCTCAAATAATAATATTATTACCAGTTCTTTCACTTTAAAATTTTGTCCTCTTATATTTACTGACAATGTTCTTATTGTTAAACAATAACACTCTTATTTTAATATTGTTTGAAATCTGACGAAATAGAAACATATTTAATTACGTTATGAAAATTGAACACATTAAAATTGTTTTAAATAATTTAAAAATTACAGTCCCTTATTCGGTAATTTCTTTCCCTTTTAAGTGCATTTTAAGTTAGTACAGTAATTACAAAACAATAGTTTTATTCTTATAGATAGAGAGCTATTTCATTTTGTAAATTAAACTATTGATACATTCTTATACTTACTGACTATGTTCTTATTGTTAAACAATAACACTCTTATTTTAATATTGTTGGAAATCTGACGAAATAGAAACAACATACATAATTATATTATAAAAATTAAAACATATTAAACAGGTTAAAAAAATTTCAAACGATTTAAAAATTTCAGTCCCTTATTCGACTATTACTTTCCTTTTTTTTTAAGTTCATTTTAAGTTGGTACAGTTAATACAAAACAATAGTTTTCTCCTATTAGATGTAAAGCTATTTTTTAAAAAATTAAACTATTAATATATTGTATAAGAATAAGTAATTATAGTTTATACAAAAAAAAAATTTTTACTCATTTACAATTTATTGACTTTTCACTGCAATATATATCAAAAACTAGTTATTTTATTTTGAATATGTAAAGTGTTTAATTTTTATTGTTTTTTTGTTTATAAATTAGGAACTTTAAAAATTAAATAAAATAATTTTTATTACAGCANATTACTGCACAAATCATAATTATATATATTTTATTTTTGGAAAGTGATTAAAAACATTTTGAGTGCTTGAAAGTTACTTAAAAGGTGCTTTTTTTTTTGTTGAAAAATTTTGTTACGCACCCTGATCGAAGTTTTATTTTATTCATCTACTAACGCCACCAAGTTAGTTTTGTTGCCACTTTAAGTATTTGAAATAGATAATGCACAAATGACAAAAAATTGATGTGTAAAACAAAATTTACAAATTATTCTAAGAATATGAATTATGTATGCTATATTCAAATAAACAGTCATACTAAATCAGATTTTATGTGCATTTTGGGGACAAGGAGCAGTCATGACATTTCACTTGCATTTTTTTTAAACATTTTGAACTTTAAAGCACAATTTAACATGAAATAAAAGTACTAACAGGGTATCCACGCACCATGAAACTCATTCATCGACTCAAGAAACTCTAGAATCATGGAAAGTCACGAATTTCGGTATTGATCAAAATGTGTCATGAAATGTCATGATTTTAACTATTTTTTTTTGTTGAGAAAAATCATGAAAAGTCATGGATTTAGGTTCATTTTTTACATAAAAGTCATTACCAAATGATGTGTTGGGTTTTGCATTAAAGTAATCAAAGAATCAGGTGACAAAGTTTGCATTTCGTTGATTTATTAATCACTCGTTGCAATTTATGACTTGTTACTTTGTGCATTTTTCAAACTTAATCATTTGCAATTCATATATGCTTCGATTTACGGAACATATGTTGCATTTCAATTTGCAAGTCATATGTTGTACATAATTTATGTCATCTTTAAGACTTGCTTCATGTTTCATGTCATTTTATTTATGGGCAACATATTGCAATTTATTTTAAAAAACTAGTCATAGTGAATTATAATCAAAAAATTTGCAATTAAGGATNTTAAGTTTGTTATCTGTCAAAATATTGTACTACAAAGGATTTTATTGTGCCCAAAATACTTTACTGATATTCTGAGGTGTTGTGTTTTTAAAATTGAAACATATGTGTTAAATATTAGTTTTGAAATTCTTATATGCTTCATAAATTTTTAATGAAAAGTCTTATCAGTTTTAGTCTTTAAAGGTTTGCATGTATGCTAATGTCAATTTGAGGTTTTATGTTAATTAAACCACAATGCAACTGTCAAATCATTTGCATTGATAGATATGAGCAACACATATTTAAAAATTGCCTGAACCATTAAACAATGTAAAATTGACACAATTAATATATGCTCCAATGCTATAAAATCTGGTGGACATGTATTTTAGCTACGTTAAACATAGTTCTAAAGAAAGGCATTATGGAAATTTTCAAAAATATTTTTTTTAAATAAGAAAAAAATATTAAGTAAAGGGAAAATATCATAGTACATTCCTATACAACTGAAAAGAGGAGGAGAGGGAAAAGAGAAGGGCCAAAGGCATGAAAGCGGTCTCTCCCCAAATGACTTATTTGAGTGTTGCGATATCTTGAAACTTGTAATTTAAAATTAAAGTTTTAAAAAAAAAATTATTTCAAAATTCAGTAAAAAAAATGCTTAAACTATTTTATAACCACAATATTTTAAAATTCACGTGTATATTTTATAATTAGTGGAAGAATAATCCATATATTTCAATTAAAAAATAAATGTGAAACATCCATTAATTTTTTATTTTAAAATTTAATTTTTTGAAAAGAATTAATTTTGATTAAAAAATTTTAATTTATAACTGAAATAAGACTTATTAAATAGTTATTAATCTTTTTAGATGAGAAAATTTGAATTGAACTCTGGACCTCTCTGGTAGAAGATGAACAACTTAACGGTCACACCACAATGTAAAAGTAATGAAGTTATATATCTTGAAACTGAAATAAAATCAATTATAAATGATTAAATAAAAATAAGGAAAATCATAGAAATAACTTGTTTTAAGGAAAATATTTCAGCACTTTTTCAAAATCGCATCAGGCAATACATACCATCTCCTTTCTCACAAATTGTGATGTCATTTTCAACCAATAGTGTGTCCCAGCTATTCTGAAATTTAATCGCTTGTTTAATTTGATCCCTATCTTAGCTACATGTTCTTTAATTTAAGCTTAACTTTGTTTTAATTGGAGTTTTCAAGATGTGTTCTACCCTTGCTAGAAACAAACTTTTTTGCATGCATTGATTACTAGACAATAATATTTTGGTGTAAGCCTACTCTTTTAGGGTGATACCAAAAATCCCAATTGAAATTGCAACCAATCCCTAAAACGTTTAACCCTCTTTGAATAGAATTAGATTAATCAGTATTTCATGTATTGATTATGTGTCTAAAAGATTGCTTGCAAACTCAAACTATGATTTCTTGTTTCTCTTAAAAAGATATTCTTGAACCATCACATAGTTTTTTGCAAATTCAAGAAGTGTTTTTATTATTAGAAAGTTATTATTTTTTTTTCTAATTATTTAAATACTTTTAGATTAGGCCGTTTTATTTTTTATGTATTTTTTTTTTTGTGTGTGTATATATATATTAATATATTGGATTAATAATTCAATACTGCTGTTTGTATTACTTTTTTTTTGTTTTCTTTTATTATTTAGAATTTTTTTAAAAAAATTTCTTACAGTTTGAGTACATAAAAGCTTTTAATTTTATTTTGAAAATTAATTTATTCGTTAGATGTTGCTGAAAGTTTTTATTTTATATTGTAAGTAAACTTATTTATTTAAATCTTGTTCACTTCCATTATTTTTGGCAATAATTTGTTAATAATAAATAATTCAATCAAATGGAATATTTTTTCCAATTTGTTTCTAAAATAATTTAACAAGAGTCAACTTAGAAACTGGAATTGCTGATGTGTGTTTTGAAGAGTTTTATTTATCCTTCAGTTTTAAAACGGTTATCAATTTGATATTTCTTAGTTTGCTATTTCATAATTTAAAAGTTAATATATTCTTCTTAATATAGTTTTTAAAAAATTACATAGTATTTGGATGATTATAGAACCGTAATTTTGGTTGTAAGTAATTTTTATCAGATTCTTTATATAAGAACTTTGCTTAATTGATTTCTAATAATGTTTTAAGATTTGCTATTCCTTTTTCTATTCACTAAGAATGTTCTTTTTTTTTAATGACAACACTCCAATATTTGAAAATTTATATGTATTTTTTCTATACAGCTTTAAAGTTGCACTTTTTTCAAAAGCTTCTCATTTTCTATATTTACAATAAATTTTAGTTAAATTTTAAATAACCGGTAGATTTTTAAACTCTTATTGAAAGAAATGTAAATTGGTGATTAATTAAAGTAATTGTGTTAAATTTTAAATGTAACACATTTGAAATTTTATTTTTTTCTCTTAATACTTTTAAGAGAGGGGTGTGAACACTGCAAACAAAAAGCTCAATGGCATTTTTTAATTGTATTACATTTGTTTGAATATTTAGTTATTTAATATCATGTTTTATTTCCCTGTAAAATTTTTCATTAACCTTGTAAACTTGCAGTGAATCATGCTATTAAATGATATAACTAAGTAAAATACCGAACATAAAACAATGATACCGAACAAATATACATATTACAAATTGTATAAGTTTCATTGGGAGTACACAATTGTATACATTTGCATTAAAACATCTTTAATGCAGAAAACACTACAAAAAACCATACGTTAAAAATAATGTGAAATATTCAAATCTGCCTATATATGAATGCTTTATTGTAGCTTTGAAGCTTGTGCATTATTTTCATTATTTTAATTTATTTTGATTTCTTAAATCTTTTATACTTATCCATATTTTTATCATAATATTAATTACTTGTAGGACTCATCTTCACTGTGTTGCTTCTTGCAATAATTCAACTCCTGGAAAACCTTGATCAACTTGAGTAATCATGAAACAACCTGGGAGAGAATGAAAAATGCTTTGAATACCTCTGCAGTAAGTTCGAAATAGTATGAAATTTGTAAATTTCTGTATCACATATACACTTTAAAAATCAATTGTTCCACAAATAACCTAGATGATGTGTAGATTAACTTAAGTAACCTCCTTATCAAGTACGCTTCAATAATTGTTTTTAAAAATTCATTCAATTACTTAACATACAAAAACTTTATTACTTACAAAAACTTTATATACTATATTCCATGTAGTGTGACACTTGTTACCGAACTTTATTCAGTCCAGTATATGCTCCCTTTAATATCATGCACAAGATTCTCTGTAATCTGGTACAAGACAATTTTTACAAATGACTATATAGGATTCTTCATTAAAGCACATACTCACAATTTTGTGCTGGGTTCTCTCTTTACATCTCATTACACCCAAATGCCTTATATGAAAAAGTTATTCTGAGACAATTAGGAATTCATCTCATAATGAACTTAATATTGATAATAGATTGAAGTTTACAAATCAATGGCTAGCTATTGTTGTCTTCTTTTACTTTCTATTGCTGTTTGCTCTTTGATGTGGCGATGAGTCAAGTAAATAATGATTTCAACAATAAAACAATAAATTTAATTAAGAAATGAAAGAAAACAAACTACTTCAGCAGCCGAGTACATTGCTGCTGCCTAATCATTTCATATTAAAAATCTCTCTCTTACATTTGTAAACAGACACAGTAGTTGTGGCGCTGCGCCACCTGCTCTACAACTCACTATTAAGGGGAAATGTTAACACTATGCTCGACAACTCACTATTAAGGGGAAATGTTAACACTATGAAGAAACTTTTAAAACAAAAATTTCGTTATAGTTTTAAATTGCCTTTGCATGAGAAAATGTAATTTTTGTTTCCTTATTAAGTGTTTAAAAAACACACGAAGATCATACATTCTTTTCTAATAAGTAATTAATTAATTTAAATAACATAGAAAATATTTTAAATGATATTTTATGGAAAAGTTATTTACTGTTTTAAAGAAAATAGATAACATCACATAGAAAATATGCATTTTCTGAAAATTGTTTGCTATATTTTGTGCCTACAACCAGTGAACCTTTATAAATGGATCATTTATGTTTTTAAAAAAAATTTATGATGTGTGTCATTTTTAAATGCTTTGTGGATTATGCATGAATTTGCTAATTCACACTTTGTGGCTCATTCTACTCCACGAATAATCAGGAGTTTACTATGTAGTTAAAAATATTGACAAATAACTAAAACTGAAATCACTAACTTTTGTATTATGTAAGACTTTTTTTCTTTTTTTAAGGAACCAAATATCCTTTTATTATATATAAAAATATATAATGTAATAATTTTTTTAAATAAGACTAATTGAAAGATCCCAATTGAAATTACAACATTTAGATCTTAAAGTAGTTAAAATTATAACTTAAACATTTATACAAATATTCAAAATTCTTTTGATACAAAAGGAAAACAAAATATATTGATCAAATTTCGAATAAAAATTATGAAAACAAAAATACACTTAAACTTTGAGAAAATATAGTTTTTTTAAACTAATTAGTTTTTTTTTTGTTGGTACCTAAAAAATGTACTAAATAAGATCTTCATTTTAAACTCTGCTAAATTTCTCTCAACATTGTACAATTTTGATATTCTGAATCTCTTCTGGCAAGAAAAAAAAATTTAATGTGTTATGCTATTTAATAATAAATTTTGTCAAATTTAATCTAGTTATTAATATCAAAATAACTTTCTT